ATAGTGACATGATATGGCCAATATTTTGCTCCTTTTGATCTTCATCTTCGGGGCTCCATGATCATCATCGTCACCGGCATGACACCATGATCTCCATCATCATGATCTCCATCATCGTGTCTTCATGAAGTTGTCACGCCAACTATTACTTCTACTACTATGGCTAACGGTTAGCAATAAAGTAAAGTAATTACATGACGTTTAAGTTGACACGCAGGTCACAAATAAATAAAGACAACTCCTATGGCTCCTGCCGGTTGTCATACTCATCGACATGCAAGTCGTGATTCCTATTACAAGAACATGATCAATCTCATACATCACATATATCATTCATCACATCCTTTTTGGCCATATCACATCACATAGCATACCCTGCAAAAACAAGTTAGACGTCCTCTAATTGTTGTTTGCATGTTTTACGTGGCTGCTATGGGTTTCTAGCAAGAACGTTTCTTACCTACGCATGAACCACAACGTGATATGCCAATTGCTATTTACCCTTCATAAGGACCCTTTTCATCGAATCCGATCCGACTAAAGTGGGAGAGACAGACACCCGCCGGCCACCTTATGCAACTAGTGCATGTTTGTCGGTGGAACCGGTCTCACGTAAGCGTACGTGTAAGGTTGGTCCGGGCCGCTTCATCCCACGATGCCGCCGAATCAAGATAAGACTAGTAACGGCAAGCATATTGAACAATATCGACGCCCACAACTACTTTGTGTTCTACTCGTGCAAAGAATCTACGCAATAGACCTAGCTCATGATGCCACTGTTGGGGAACGTAGCAGAAATTCAAAATTTTCCTACGCGTATCACCAAGATCTATCTATGGAGAGACCAGCAACGAGTAGAAGGAGAGTGCATCTACATACCCTTGTAGATCGCTAAGCGGAAGCGTTCAAGTGAACGGGGTTGATGGAGTCGTACTCGTCGTGATTCAGATCACCGATGATCCTAGTGCCGAACGGACGGCACCTCCGCGTTCAACACACGTACAGCTCGACGATGTCTCCCACGCCTTGATCCAGCAAGGAGAGAGGGAGAGGTTGAGGAAGACTCCATCCAGCAGCAGCACAACGGCGTGGTGGTGATGGAGGAGCGTGGCTATCCTGCAGGGCTTCGCCGAGCACCTACGGGAGAGGAGATGTGTCACGGGAGGGAGAGGGAGGCAACCAATCGATCCCGTATACAATTCCCTTTGTCTAGCGGTATGGTACTTGCCCGAGATTCGATCGTCGGTATACCGATACCTTGTTCAATCTCGTTACCAGCAAGTCTCTTTACTCGTTCCGTAACACATCATCCCGTGATCAACCCCTTGATCACATTGTGCACATTATGATGATGTCCTACCGAGTGGGCCCAGAGATACCTCTCCGTTTACACGGAGTGACAAAATCCCAATCTCGATTCGTGCCAACCCAACAGACACTTTCAGAGATACCCGTAGTGTACCTTTATAGCCACCCAGTTACGTTGTGACGTTTGGCACACCCAAAGCACTCCTACGGTATCCGGGAGTTGCACAATCTCATGGTCTAAGGAAATGATACTTGACATTAGAAAAGCTTTAGCATACGAACTACATGATCTTGTGCTAGGCTTAGGATTGGGTCTTGTCCATCACATCATTCTCCTAATGATGTGATCCCGTTATCAATGACATCCAATGTCCATGGTCAGGAAACCGTAACCATCTATTGATTAACGAGCTAGTCAACTAGAGGCTTACTAGGGACATGGTGTTGTCTATGTATCCACACATGTATCTGAGTTTCCTATCAATACAATTCTAGCATGGATAATAAACGATTATCATGAACAAGGAAATATAATAATAATCAATTTATTATTGCCTCTAGGGCATATTTCCAACACATCCTGGCAGCTCTCCTCTTGAATGCCCGGGTCCTTGGTTTTCGGTGATGCTCTGCTCTAGGTGAGAAGTCGACGGCAGGTTGCGTCTGCCTAGTCCCAACAATGTGGATGCCATCGGTGCCACTCATCCAGGTTCTAGGGTGAACGTATTCATTGTCGACGGTTCGGCGCCTTTCGAGCCAGGCGAGGAGGCAAGGGCCTTCTTCGACGATGGATCTGGATGGTGGTGTTTCCCGGCTGGTCCAGGTGTTGTGGTAATGGCTGCCTCTCTCGGTCATCTGATCTTCCTCTCCTTCGCCGGCATCTCCCTTCTCCTAGGCTTCGCGCGTGCAAGAGGCCTTGTCATCTTCAAGCTTGGTGCTTCATGTAGATACTTTTTTTTCAGTTTGTTGTATGTCTGGCATGTGAGCTGCTCCCGACACCATTGTATCTTGCCGTGTTTTCTTTTTTATGATTTGTGTCGAGGTTGTAATCCAGAGTTTGTAATCCTGGCCGGTTGATGGCTTTGTTAATTCAAAGTCGGGCTCTCCCGAGCCTTCGTTCTAAAAAAAAGGGAGGGAGGGGGTAGATGTGGGCAACATACTTTGTGGTAGCCGCTGATATATGGTCAACGGTGATTCTAGCCCATAGGCAGCCCATGTCGAGCACAACAACAAAGATAGTGGCCGCTCATAACAATATCATCTTGAATGTAAAAAAATAAACAGTACTAATAAGATAATAGGATTGAGTTTTTTTTATCCCAGGACTAGAAAATATTTTACACTAAAAACACCAAGTCTAAAGGGCATCACATTGCAGAAGATGATAGGAAGCGGTAAAATACCAAGAATCAATGAGGTCTACAAGTAAAACCATGGAGGAAGCCACGGCTACGGGACGCCCTCCTTTTCGAGCAGCTGGCCGTGGAATGTCCCCTGGGTTCGGCCAAGGCACCCCGGAGCGGTGGAGCGTATGCACCTCCGTAACGAAGCTCCCCCACTCCCCATTAGAGTTTCCTCTCTGAGCATGGATGACCCCAACGCCCTCTGCTTTCGGGTGAGCGAAAGACAGCCGGCTGCACGACATCGATGACATGGTGTGGCTGGTTGAGACCAACACGAGGCACATGGCAGTGCTATTGGTCACACGCTACTCAAACGAACAGGTGTGCAGGTAGTTTATACAAAATTGGAAACAACCAGAATGTTTTGCATTATATCTTTAGAAACTTGAAACCTCTAAAACCCAGCCATGCCACTTCTGTCGTCAACCAGCCCCTACGGCGACCTTCGTCTGATTCCCCTTGCTGGTATGTGCGCACCGCCGACGCCGACCACATTTCCTCACTCCTCAACGCCGTGCCTCTGCATGATGAGGCCGCCATATCGGTGAATCACATAGTGATCCGTATAGAGGCAAAACAAGTTTCAGTATTCTCATATTTTGCTCGTAGCAATGCACGGGTATTGTGCTAGGCAAGGACATTGGCAGAAGCGGTCGCTAATCATATGCTGTTTTTTTTTCGCCAAAGAAAAAACTTCATTAGGGAGGAATAGAGTTGCAACGGGCAGCCATTAAGTCTGATACAAGGTCAGGAACGCCCTCCACTCATACATGTGGTATGATTATTACAAGCTTCAGTTCCCTATTTCTCAAGTCCCAACATTGGCCCCTTGAACTCAGGGATGACGTGTCCGGGTCGGTCGTTCTCTCCCACAGATATACTGCAAATGAGTTTGGCGCAGTCAGTCTGAATAACAGAAAGCTTGGGTTGTGTTCTGGCGCATCAGCTTGACACCTTCACAAGGCGCAGAAACTTCATCTGCAAAAGCATCCTGACATCTGGAGAGGGGCACACGAGGCAACGATGAAATAGCCTAGCTGGCCCCGCACCACGGCACATGCACACACCTGCACTGTCATCTCGTGAAGAGAATGAGCCAATCATGTGCTCCAAACTCCAAAAGCAACAAACCAAATTCAACCAAATGCGAGTGAGTTCAACGAGTGTTCATTCATAAGCACCGAAGATACAATGTCACCGACAACAGTGGTGTAACACAGATGTGGTCTTGCATGCATGACCATCCGATTTTGATTCCATGGACTATGTTATCTGAGTACAACAATAGTCCTTCATTTAACTTGGGTTAGGCGTGAAAGAGGAGCTGGCATCGCTGCCGCCGCTTCCGGCTCGCCTCCACAAAATGGGTTCGTCTCCGACGAAATCTTGGGATTTTGGGACAATTTCCTATATGTCGAATCTTTTACTATATTAACATCTTTTTATTTCATTGAACATATGTACTTTTTTTTGAATGGTACGAAACATTTTCTTAAACATACATGAATATTTTTGACATTGTATAAACCTTTCAACAAATGTCACAAACATATTTTCAAAGCGCGTGAAATTTTTACATGTCATGAATATTGTTTTTAAAATGGTGTAAACATTTATTTAAAAATTTAAGTATAATAATTTTTGAAATATGTAATTCCCCCCTAGTACAAACAAAAGTAAAGAAAAAGAGACAAACGACATAAACAAAACTAACTAACATTTGCATCAACTAACGGGTCGACCCACTACAAGCGAAGGCTTGCTGCGTCTCGCTGTGGGAAAGACTGTAGAAAACAGTGCCTCACTATTAGAGCTCAAGCTCACACTCTTAGGGTTCGGCTCATCATAGGTCAAGAAGTTTGCACTTTTTTGCCCATTCTATCTGTGGTTTCTTTGCCTAATATATTCAGTACTTTCGGGGTGATAACTCTAAAATCCGGGGATGCCTATTTCTTAATACTAACAACACTATGAAACCAATAGGATTAAAAATTACTCTATCCGTTCCAAAATACTTAACGTGGTTTTAGTTTAAATTTACTTTGAAGCATTGGCTTTATTGATTTTAAAACTACCGTGAGTAGCATCAAATACTGTTTGACACAATAAAGAAAGCACAAGAAAACATCAACAGAGTCATCCAACATAAAAATACTACAGTACTTGCATTATAAGGAAAGAAAACGAAATCATGTGTGTATCTTTTAATTTCCACAAAATTCAAGCCTGCAGTTTCGACCAGATACTCCTTGATTTAGGATTAGACCCTCTCTATATATAGCAGTCATATCAGTAATGTACCTTGACCTTAGGATCAACGACAGGATTAGCTAGCTGGAACACCTGAAAACCGGTCGTGTCCGATAGGTTCCTCCTCCGGAACGCGTCGGTCCTCCATCTCGTGAGCTTGTCGAAGAGGTGGTCTGGCCAGAATTGGTCCCCATCCTCGACGTGCATCTCCTCGAGTACCATGGCGTTTTCCACGAGGAACTTGGCCAGCTGCACCTGGAAGCAGTTGAGCTCCTTGGACTTGAATTGCAGCGTCACCTTCCGTAAGCACGTCCTCAGGCAGCTGAACGCGGAGTTGTTGGCGAAGGCGGCCGGGAGCTCCGAGACCCCGCCGAGCTCCACGTCGTCCCGGTGTTCTGCGCACATGGAACCGAGCCTGCTGAACCTTTCCACAGACTGGGCGAAGGGGCCTCCGGCGGCCTGTTTCTCGGTCTTGCGATCGTAGTCGTAGTCCCATGTCATGTTTAGCCTGAGTCGGAGCTCCGACATTGCCGGGCATGAGTGGAGCAGCATCGCCAACGCCAACGCCGTGTTGCTGTCCCTGTAGTTGAATTCTGCGTCTATTTCGAGGAGCTTCAGGTTCGGGAAGTTCGGCAGGGTGACCTCCTCGTCGGGGTCTTGGTTGCCGGTGGAACCCTGATACCTGTAGCTGCTTGATGCGTTATGGGAGAATATGTTCTCGATCTTCTTGAGGTGCAGCTTCAGGGCCCTCGTGCTGGAGAAGCTGCCGAGAGCGCGCGCGGTGGGCTCGCACTTGTAGACACCTCTCTCGCTGTGGTTGGTGTCGAGGTGGACTTGTGCCAGCCCCGGCGCCGGCGATGTCAGCGAGAGCTTGAAGGGGAACCCCTTGTAGCGGAAGGAGCATAGGCTCGGCATGTCGAGCTGTATGCCGATGTTGCGGGAATCGTCGAGCTCTTCCCCGGAGACGGTGGTCTCGAGCACCAAGGCGGTGACCGTCGGGCAGCGGAGGCAGAGGGGCAGGTTGAAAGTCTTGGGTGTATAGTAGCGATCCTTCTCGGAAGCCGGCGGCTTTGGCGGCTTATTAGTGACGTTCACCAGCGCAAGTCTGATTAGCGCTGGGGCGGCATCGAGCACGACCTGCAGATATCCCACGACGTAAGTGCAGTTGCGCAGCGTGAGATCCGTGAGCAAAGGAAAAGCGAGCCGCGCGGACGGCTCGAGGTCGCAGGAGTCGAGCTCCAGAACCCGGAGCGTCGTGGTGGCGCACGGCAGGGAGGCCAGCGGCGCTACGTAGGAATTTCGGTAGGAGGGCTCAGCAGCGATGCGGAGCTCCTCCAGCGCGGCCGCAGCGGGGTCGACGAGGAGGCCGGTGACCCGGGCATCGAACTCCGGATCCCCGTCGTGGGAGCTGTAGTACTTGCCACCAACGAGGTAGGCGTCCATCCCGAGGTAGAGCGTGAGCCTCTTGAGCGCCGTTTCGCGGCGGCAGCCGAGGGCGGCCATGCCGTGGCGGAAGAAGTCGTCGTAGGGGTCGTGGCGGTTCCCGTAGGAGTATTGGCGGGGGTAGGGCTTGCTGTCGAGGTTGAGGGCACCCGTGCGGCGCCACAGCGGACGCCATCGGCGCGAGAGGGCAGCGCTGGCCGCGGCCTCCTTGGCCGGCGCGAAGGACAGGATGCGCTGCAGGAGGTCGTCGGCGAGGGCGGAGAGACGGTCGGCGGCGGCCATGGTGCGAGTAGATGGATGTGCGATCGATCGAGGCCGTCGTGGCAGGAGTAATTTATGGATCTGATCGATCGAGTCGGTTTGTTTTGGTTGAACGAGAATACGCCGCATTGGCGGTTCGTTTGCAGATGATCGGCCCAATACGTTTGTTGGTCTTTCAAGGCCTTCCACAACCCACACTAGTCCTTTTTCGTTCTTGTTTTGTTTTTGAGATAACTTCAACATTCTAATGTTTCCTCAAAAAAAATTCAGGCCATGTTTGGATTATCGTGTTTCTTTCAAACTAGTAAGCTTGCACGTGCAATGCACGTCTTGCCTTGTACAAAAACAATATAATGAGTAAATCAAATGATGAGACAATTAATTTTATTTTTTGACAAGCACCTACTCCCAATCATGCATACATAAGTAAACCAAAAAAAAAACATACATTCAAGATTACTAATATGTAATATTGCTTGAATATTAACAAAGCCACCATACAAGATTCATTATCCATGGTATGTTGTTAAAAAGTAAACAATTGCTCACAGAACAACAGACTATGAGTAGGATATGACATAAATGAATAAACAATGTCCTATCACCATTGAGATGCCTTCACCAAGATTATGTTCTCTGCTTCGTCTTTATCCAAATTCATTACTCAAAAGGTATTTAAGTTGTTCAATGATCATCACACACTATCTGAGATAAATAGTACTTTCCTGGAGAAAAAAGTTAGAAGGAAAGACACTTTGCTAGCAGTGTCGGAGTTCTGTATACATAGTTATACTACCAGGGTAAGAAAATAACAACATAAAAAAAACTAATGTAACATCATGAGTACATGGACACTTCACGAGCACACGAATGCATCCAGAAATGACCCTGGATTGCCATCACAGGGCATTACTATGTGACATTGTGATGTGTTTGTGTGCTTATAAATCATAGTCATCTTTCTTGATATAGAATTCAGGACATGTAAGAAAGCAAAATGTACAGTAACACATGCTGGTAGCATGTGGGGGCTAGGGCGGCAACCTGCTAGCAGCGAGCTATCACAGTTTGGGAGCATTGACCACAACACATAGCATTATAAAGAGGGGAATATAGAACAAGACATATGCACAATCCTGGGATGATGGAGAGTATTCCTATAGCAACCCGATTTTCATACCCGAACAGGGATACACCATTCACACATCATTATAACATCAAATAATTCTATAGATGCATAAGCATAAACATACCAGAACAGGGTGTGGACCTTCTGAAGCTTGGAGTGGCGCTGCATTCCTATCTTTTCATGAGCATGTTATCAGCCTAGATGTGCAAAAACAAAATCGATTGGTATTACACAAGGATTACAAATTAAAAAAAGTCTTTTCTTGGTGGACCATGTATTGTGTTTGTAATCATTCAGAACAAAAAATAAGTTAATACTGAACTTAGAATAAATGATTGAGTATCTTAAGTCCTAAATAGAAGAAAGCTTCCCGGTATGCAATGTTCGGGAGTTCGTATGTGTATATTTTGGCCTCCTGATGGAGGCGTTTCATGAGTACCCTTGTGTTGATCTTACTACCTAAGTGCACTTTGCATCTGTCAGGTGTTTTCTTTTGTATCCTCTGCTCCTTTAGAGCCCTTTATAGATTTTTGTTGAAATATTAATACAGAAGCAAAAACTGCTACTTTTAGTCAGAAAATAAATAAATAGCAGAACAAAACCAATTTTTCAGTTCTAGACATGTTTTGTTAGCAATTTACCAACCTACTGTCGATTGCCTCGGTGAACTTCCTGTAATTGATAGCCACCAACTCACCACGGACCCAGGTCATCTAACCGGAAGTCTTGCCACTCTGCCACTAAAACATAACACCATTTCTGATTCCTTCTACAGTGCCTCCGGTGTTATTCAGGTATCTTCCGCTGAGGCTCCTCTTTCCCTTGTTGAGTTGCCCTGACTCCCGAGTTCTGACTTAAGTGCCAAATAATGAACATTTTTTTAGTTCCAACTATGTCTTTTGTAACTAATTAAAACATGCAGAACTTTTGCCCGTCATCTCTGTAAATTACATTAAAAGTGGAATAATCATAACTATAATTTTGCAAGTAATCTAGCTTAATCAGCAATCATAGTTATAGTGAATCTACTGGAAAGATGGAAATAAATTTCATCAATGATAAGGATACTAAAGGTGATCTTTATGGATTTGGCCTGAACAATTCTGAAGGGAAGAAATCAAACTAATCTTGACAGGGAAAAATGGGTAGTGTAAAGTTTTAATCAAAAACATCTCCATGTAGCCCAGCAGCTGGAACATCAATGTAATTATCCAATCAGAAGACTGTAGTGAATTACTATAAACAAATACAAATGGTCTTCATGCCTACCAAAAATAACATAAAAACATTCTCCATCCCAAAACAAACCATTGCTTCCACAACCCCTTTATTTTTCACCACCTTGTTCCCAAAAAATCCAACAAAGCATTATCGAAAGAGAATAACATGTTATGATGTGCTAACTGAATTCCTACACAATTGTAGGATGGTTGGCGTGGCGAATTCAAGAGTTTAAAAGTGACAGGGAAAATAGATTATAAACAGCTAAGCTGATTCGGTTATGACCTTAAAGTTGAGAAGACCGTGTACAATGTTTTTTCCGTTAATAAACACTGTAGATCAGTATCCATTCTGGTCTACTGTAAAACTAAAACTAAACATTAGTCAATCGCTGCAAAGATAGGAAAATATTGGCAGATTAGTACAGTGAAAAGAGATAAAACAAACGACTAATAAGCTAGAAGGGGTGCAGCATGGTGAAACGAAGAAGAAGAGAGCAAATCAACCACTTGCTTGACTTCCTTACCATGTCCTTGACTCCATGTCCACCCAGTTCGTACTATGCTTAGCCAGCGATAGAATGTATTTCTGTATGGGTGAGTTGAACTGAAACTCTGAAGCAGCATCGTTCTAAAACACTGTGTGTCTGTATGTCCATAGAAATTAGAGGAAGCGACAGAGACTGGGGGTGTGAGCATACAGAGTTACAGACCCAAACTTACAGAGGAAAACCGAAGACAACACGAATGCTGAATAGATCAGAAGATGCGGGGCGAACACAGCGGCGTGTTGCCTCATAGTGCACGTCCATGTCTAACTCTCATCCCTTCTTCTCCGTGTCCTCCTCCTCTCCTGTCAGGGTCGTCGTCGCGATCCGCCACAGAGAATAAAATAAAAAATGAACACATCGCTCGATCAGTCAACCATAGAGACACTTCCCGACCCATCATGTCAGGGCCATCGTCGGGCGGCCGTCAGAACGTGGAAGGCACCTCGATCCGCAGGGGCTCCAGGTGTGGGGACTGGCCAGATTGGTGGAGAAGAGTAGGGGGCGCGCGGTGGACGCCGACGGCTTGGGAGGAGGAGGACGAAGGGATGGAGGCGTGGTGCCCAGCCACTTTCCACACGGCACGCCCACTCATGGCGCGGCGGCGGCTCATGGCGACGACAGCGGGACTCGGCCGGCGGCGCGCGTGGACGTGGAGGCGGAGAAGACAGGGCATGAGGAGGGCGGACCGGCAGAGCTGGCAGCAGAGAGGTCGACGAGGGTAGGGAGGAGACCATTGTCCGGCCACGTTCGCCGGCGGCTGTCCCGCGTGCGTCCAAGTCCGCGGAGGCGGCGGCGGCAGAGGTAGCATCCACTCACCTCTCATCGGCGATGAGCGCCGTCACCTGCAGTCGGGCCAGCGGTGGAGCGGTCGAATGCGACGTGAGGAACTCCAGACGAACAGGCGGTGCTCCGGCGGCGCGTGCAGATGGAGGCACAGGTCGAGGCGGTGGTTGGCGGGGAGCCTGTAGGGAAGAGGTGAGGCGAGGAGTGGGGGCGGTGGCCAAAACTGCCCCGACGGCGTGGTCGCGAGAGGACAGAGGGCTGCGACGTGTTCGTGAGGATGTTAACCCAATGACATGGTGGGTAATTAATTAAGGTAATAGCATGGTGGGTAATTAAAGTATAAAACGCGTTTAGTATCCTTGAGGGATGTAGACCATCAGATTGCACGTTTTGATGGATAGGATGATTTGGTTCTCCGTCCTCTCGTGCTTTTATAGGACTAGTAGACTAGTAGATATACCTGTAAAAGATACACGCCTCTGCGCGTCATTTCTGGCCGGAAATCACTCTAGTCCGCTAAGATACACTTGTAAAATCGATACGGCCGTGTTGAATTACACTCGATCTAAGCGCGGCATCAACATTCTAATGTGGGTAGCTTTTGTCTAGTTGGACATGGTTTTTGTCTTGTTGAGTTTGTAGTCAGTGGATTTGTGGTCATTCAGATGCATAGGTCAATTTGTAGTCACTCGATTGAGCCTTTTGTCTAGTTGGGAATGGTTGGGACTGTTCTTAACCATTGTGAATATGGAGCTATAAGATTGTTCTTAAAGTATAGGGAATTTTCTTAATACATTTATTTAAGTTTACCATTTTCTCCATCTAATTTAGTTCATGTACATTTTGAAGTCTCACACATACATTTCCTAACTACACAACTAACAGTTTGTCCTTTGAGGCAACAACATTCTCGTAGCACTAGGTGTACATTTATTTTCTTTTAAACAGGTGCTGAACATTTTTCTCAAAGTAATTGTTAAAATACATGTCAACAGTTTTTTCAAAAGGCAAATACACTAATTAAATGTAGCATTTTTTCCACAGCAAATTAATTGATGTATACTTGCAAGTCAAACACATACATTTCCTAACTACCCAGCTAGCATTTTTCTCTTGATGAATTAACATTTTCATACCACTAGGTGTACATTTTCATTCTTTAAATGGGTGATGAACATTTTTCAAAGGCATATTGAAATACGTTATCAACACCATTTCCCAAAGGCAAATACATTTATTTAAATATAGCATTTTCTCCACCTAATTTAGTTGATGTACATTTTTAATTCATGCATTACCTAACTACAAAACTAACATTTTTTTCCCTTTGAGGCAACA